GGATAACCTGAGCCACTCTAACTAGAAGCTTTATCATTTTTTTTTATGAGAACAGCACATTTTAAACAGGGTGTGCACGAGGAGAAATGGGCTCGTGCACGCTCTCGGATGGTCTTTTGAAAAACCCTCCACGAAACCTTTAAATTAAAAAAAAGGATAAAGAATGACATAATTTTATCTATAAAATTATAATTTATAAAATGTATAATTTTAAAGTTTTAAAGCAGATTTGGATCAATAGTTAGCATCTATTTTCCATCAGCAGGGTGCAGCAGCATGCTAGCTCCCTGCTCTGGCCTGACGCCCTGCTGACCCACAGATTCAGCAGACGCCTGAATGCAGCACAGGCCTTTGCCTCCAGGTTCTGGTGGAACCGGTCCACCGCTCTGATGCGTTTCAGCAGCTCTGGATCAGCGTGGTTCTTATAGGGCGGGGTTGGAGCTGTGAGCTGACCCTGCAGCCCAGTGTGTGTCAGCGGCTGCATTGATCAGGTTATTGATCGCCTGCCAGGATTGATCCGTGGCAGCTCGGACTGCAGGAGCAGCTGGGGACAAACAATGTTCCCCGCTGACTCGCTTGTTCTGATCCGACCCGGTTTCATTGAACGGAACCATGGATCACAGCACATTTGGAACAGAGCAGCTAGGATGGGTTCTGGAAGCTGGAGATTTCTGATCCTTTGCTTCTGATTCTGCTGCTTTGATTCTTTATGTCTGATTTTCCTGTAGTTTTTTCTGTTTTTCTCTTCAGTTATTTCAGTTTGTGAATCTTTTTCCAGAAGATTGAGATTTTAATAGAAAATAAATGAACCACGTCGTTAAACCAAACTCATTTTTCCAGATTTTGTCACCAGGAAACTAAAACAAACAGCATATTTTTGCTGACAACAGATCCATTCGGGTCCAAACGTCAGCAGAACCTAACAGAACCAGCAGCACTGAGCTGCAGCGGGCCGTCAGTCTGTGGTGTTTGATGAAATAACAGAAGCAGCTGCAGCTCAGTGTTTGGGTGGAGATCTGCTCTGAACCGCAGCTCAGAACCTCAAACATTCCTCTGCTGCAGACTCCCTCCGCCTGGCTTCTATTAAACAGGACCAAACCGGGTCCAACTGGATCAGACGGGGCTGAGGCGTCAGCTTTATCCTCAATAAAACCGTGAAAACCTGTGAACTGTAAAATATGTCTCCTCTGTGTTTAGAAAACAAACGTTTTCCAAGGATCGACTGAAACCATGATGGGAATCAGCTTTCAGCTCCAGGGGTCACATGACCCAAGAACAGGAAGTCAGAACCTCATTAAAGAACTTAATTAGGAGCAAATCCTGCTTTCTAACTTCTATTTAAATAATATTGCAGCTAATTGTTTAAAGGAGACAGATGTTTCTGTGTAGAACAAAAACATTTCAGTCTTTATCCATCAGGTTTGGATACATTAGGGCCTGATGATGAGATCCGGATTCCCGGATTAAATAAAAACGATGATGGTTCCTGACTGAGAGCCGTCCTCTGATTGGACGGATGCTTTAACTCTCCATTGCAGCACAGCTCAGCTCCAGGAAACATCAACTCAGAACCGGAAGCTTCTA